AAATTGGGTTTTGCCATGAATTTTAGTATGTCGACGAAACTATTACTAATTTAGCTCTAAAATCGATGTTTGTTAATTACTTTGTAAATTAATGAATTGTTTTGTTGTTGTAGTTTTTTCGTAATTTGGATAATGTGTAAGGAAAACAGTTATTCGAGTAAATGATGCAATCGCGAGTTGGATTGATCAATAAAGCTTTGAATTAACATTGCTGTCTCAATTGAAGTACATATAATTATTATATAAATATTTTGGAGAGAATACGTGAGAGTACGTGCGAAGCTAACGTGCAAAAAGAATGATGGATGGATTAAAATAATAACAAAACAGAAAATAAAAAAACTCACATAAAGACATTGCAAGCAAAGTAAAACGATTAAGGTGATGTGAATGCAATGCAAATTTACCACGAATTCGCTGATTTATGTAAAAAAATCACGAGCAAATCTCCTTCGCTTTTCCCCTCAACAACCGTCGAACCTTGGAGTCTGACACTGAACTGAGCAACTCCGTCTCTGCCAATATCCCAGCTCTGACGTCACGCCCCACCGAGGATTATGTAACCCAGCGTTTCGGAATCTCCAACGAGCGACGCGCGAAAATTGGCCCCGAAAAAGTTTCCATCGATGGAAACGGCACAGTTTTCCATCCATCTGGATTCTTGCATTCTTCCTTCTGGTGACTTCGCGTGAAGAACGTCAGCCATTGGGAACAGCTGTCGCTAATTACGTTGACGCCCCTAGAAAATTTAAAAACCTTTTAATTGATTTTATATGTTATAAAAGTAAATAAATGCATTTAAAATATTACAAATCTAACAATAACATATGTAAATAGGATATCCTAACAATTGGTTTAATGACTTATGCAACCGAACTAACGTTTTATCATCGTCATGGTAACAATACCATAATATTCAATTATTGTAGCGATGTCTTCTTTCGCGACCGGCGTCCGCAACCAAACCAAAGAGCGATTCGACGCGTTGCTGAAATCCGCTCTGCGTAAGAAATCGCAGTCCAAGTCCAAGCAGAATCTGGTTGAGGAGGTGGAGGTGGTCAGCGATGGAGGAATCTCCAACGCGTCGGAGGATAAGGCTTACATCATGGACAAGTTCCTGCAGGACGCGACAGAAGCGAAGGTTCCAATCCCCAAACCTAGGCGCAGGTTGCTCGATGGAAAATCCGACAATCAGCAAAGCAAAATAGACGAGCGCTCTGAAGATAATAAGATGAAAGTGAAGGTAAAGAAACCAATAGAATCCAATCATTCTTCTTCAGATGATGAAGGTGATAAGTCGAGAGTTAAAAGAAAGGTAAATGTAAGGAAACCGATCGAATCAACCGATGATGACAGCAAATTGGTCGAGATTTACGCGAAACCGGAATCCTCCAGCAAGTCTTCAATTACAAAAGACGAAGATAACAATTCCATTATTAACAATTCAAAATTACCAGTCGATTCCACCGACGAAGACGATGATACTTACGTTAAATCAAATATAAAAAATGAAGAATGTATAAAGACAAATGAATCCACGGATGATGAACCATCTAGTAAACCGAAAATAAAACCACGAAATATTCCTAAACAAAATATTGAAACTTTGAAACGAAAACAGAAGAATGTTGAAAGTAAAGAATCGCAGAAGTCTTTGGATTCTATATCAAAGGAGGAGGAGGTGAGTTACGAGGATGAAATTAAACCGAAACCGAGAAAGTCGAAAGCGACGGTCAAACCTAAACCTAGGACGCGGGTGCCTCAGAAAGGGACAGTTTACGGATACGAGAAAATCTTGAATGTCTGCGTGCATCGCACGGACAGATTGAAACTGGATTCGTACGTGATACATCCGGTGGTGAAGATACATTTGGTCGATGGGAAAACCGGTGATTATTTGAAGAAATCGGATAAGAGCAGAGCCGCTCTGTTTTACTACGAGAACAAGCAGATTGATTATATTGGACCGATCATGACACGCGCTTACGACTTGCAAGAAAATAGGTAATATTTGAACATGCGAAAAGTTTAATTATAATACATTTAAATATATTCTAGATCGTTGCATCCTAATTGGGAGGAAAACATTATGATCAACGAGGATTTAGAGTATTTAAAGAGTTCACCGGATTTACTAATGTTATTCGAAGTCATGGACTTTTCCAGAAAAGAAGGTATAGTTAATGAATCCATTAAACTCGATTTATATGGGAATGATTTAAGGTTGGTATAGAATAGCGTGGGCTTTCCTAAATCTGCATCCGACGAATCTCGAGAGAAGCGTCCGCTTGCAACTGTTCGCGCCGAAGAAAATGAAGATCTACAACGCGAACCAATGCGAGATTTTCGATCTGTGGTCGAAAAAGAATTACCAAAAGTATCCTTCCACTTTGCACGTCACCGTAAAAGGTGTAACGATGCCACAAGAATCTTCCACTTTGCGCTCAAATAATCCTTACCAAAAGGAAGTTGGTAAGAGTCAGTTAATAGAAGAAAAACATATAACGGAGAATCCAATCAGCTGGGATAAAGTTGACCATCAAATCTGCAAAATACCAAATAGATTGGTGCAGAAAATTGAGGGCGGAGAAGATGGTTGTTTTTTAATGGCTTTTAGCAATTTGGGAAATCACTTGGCTTATTGTGCTTTGGAAGATAATGTTTACAACATCATGATTTATTCGGTAATCAAAGTATTTTTTATTTGTGAAATACTTTAATTTATATAGAGATTTTCAGATCATCGAGAACGAGGATGTAGCATGGTTCCCGAGTCACCAAGGCTTGATATACTGCTTGATTTGGTCGCCAAATGATAAATACGTTATTTCAGCTTCTGCTGATTGCACAGTTGCTATTTGGGACGTGGAGAAACACACATTTATTCAAGTTAGTTCTAATCAAATTGGACTTACAAAATATACATATTTTTTTTTTATAATTGTAGATGCTTCCACATCCCGCTTTCGTTTATACTTGTTGCTTTATTGGATCATCAATAGCGACTGGGTGTTATGACCAGTATATACGAATTTGGGGTCTTGTCAAAGATGGTAATTACGAGTTACGAGAAGAATTGAAAGGACACGAAGGCTATGTTACATCCGTGTGCTCCAATAAGACAGGAAATCTCTTGTACTCTTCAGATTCCATTGGAACCGTTCTCATATGGTTATTTGACGAAGAAAATTGGCAGCTTTTGAGGTAATTGATAGTCATACTAAACTTTATTGAATTGTATACTAATTCTTGTTTTTGGACAGGCAATTGTTGGTGTTAGATTTCAAAGAGGTCGTCATCAATCAAATTATCCTTCATAAACGAGAGAAGAGGCTGTTCGTCAACAGCAGAGACGATAAAGTGCGGATGATTGATATAAAGACAGGATACGTCTTACAAACTTACCATGGAGCTCGAAATAACAGGTAATAAGTAATATACAAACAGATCATAATTCAAATATTATTCTTACCAGGGTCCATTCAAAAATTGCAATTTCTACTTGTGGGAATTACGTGTTTTCTGGAAGTGAATCAGGAGATCTATACGTTTGGAATACGGAAAACGGCACCATAGAAGACGTTTGGAAGCCCTATAACAAAGAAGTCGATATACACTGCATTACATCTCATCCTAAAGACGCTTATTTGGCCATTTCGCATTACGGGTTGCCTCTGCCCATACTTTTGTATGGTCATGAAAATGGCCCAAAACTAGATTCTACAATCAACGAAGAACCTACAAATAAGTCCCAAATTGAAAAGAAGTTAAAAAGTTTAGATTTTAAAGGAATATTAGAGAAAATGGATAACGTAATAAGCGTGAACAATAAATATTGATTATACTTTTATGCAACGTATGCATCAGCAAGTCGAATTGGTTGTATAAGCATTAAATTGCTACACCTACTTTATTTTTTTCGTCCAATCTGAATAAAGTGTATTTTGTTTACATTGTAGCTTGATTTTTTTTAATGGAATTAAGCCTTCGTAATCGAATTATGAATTGCGCAAAGTGATTCGGTATAAAAAAATAGAGGTCGCAAGTGCTGAAGTACTTTGTTAAGATGAAGCAAGTGTTCATGTTTTTGGCCACACTAATAGGTAAATTAATCAATAAAAAAAAAATGAATGAAATGCATGGAACTAATGGAATCTTGCAGTGGTTTTTCAACAGTCTTCCAGTTCAAGAGTGCTAGAGCTGAGCGATAAGTTTGCAGATGTTCGTAAGGATGGGGGCCACTGGTTGGTCATGTTCTATGCGCCGTGGTGTGGCCACTGCAAGAGGCTTGAACCTGTCTGGGCTCATGTCGCTCAATCTCTGTACAAAACCAATATAAGAGTGGGAAGGATTGATTGCACTCGTTTCACATCTATAACCTCAGAGTTCAAAGTCTCTGGGTTTCCAACTATCAAATTGTAAATTAAGCCTAATTTTTGTTTGATTTGGAGTTAATGGTTTTTTTCGTTTGCAGCATCAAGGGAGAAGATGAATACACCTTCCACGGTGATAGAACCAAAGATGATATCCTTAACTTTGCTAAGAGGATGTCGGGACCCCCTGTGCAAGAGTTAACTAGGGCGGACAGCATGAATAGTATTAAAACGGCGCATCAGCTTTTCTTCATGTACGTTGGATCTCAGGATGGACCTCTTTGGAATGTTTATCACGGCGTGGCTACGCGATTGCAAGCGCACGGATTTTTCTATTCAGCTAGTACGGACATCGCTAAGCAGCATGTAGATATTGATGAGTTACCTGCCGTTTTTGTATACAAGGAGAGCCTTCATTATTTTTACTCAGGTAAATAATTATAATTTCTAGAATACCATATCTATTGAAACAAAATTGATTGTAGTCGATTCCGGTAATTCTGTCGCTGATGCCAAAGATTTGAATGATACCATGTACAATTGGATCAACGAGGAGAGATTCGAGACGTTCCCGAAAATCACCAGAGGCAACATAAACGACATAATGCAAACGAAGAAGTACCTAGTTTTAGTTGTGGTCGAAGAGAACAAGCTGCGTGAAATTCCCGCGGAGATGATTGAGTTTCGCGACATGGTGGAATCGGTGATTCGTAAGAAACGCGACAAGTTCCACAAGAACTTCCAATTCGGTTGGATCGCAAGTCCCGAATTGGCTAACAGCATTGCCATGACTGTCCTTCCTCTTCCGTACTTGCTCGTCCTCAATTCGACGACGAACCATCATCATATTCCTGAAGACGATCCGGCTCAGCTCACCGCAGCAGCAGTCGATTTGTTCTTGGAAAGGATTTACAACCAAAGCGTTACAGTAAATACACTTGCTTTATTCGATCAAAAACGAATCAATTCAACAATCTCTTTTTAGACTTACGGAGGAAACAGCTATACAGTACAATTATACAGGTATTATTTTGAGGCAAGATCTTCGCTCGCTGAAATGTGGAGAGGAAATCCTGTTTTGACCACTGTACTATTTGGCCTTCCATTTGGCTTCCTCTCGTTAATTCTCTATTCCATTTGTTGCTCCGATATCTTAGATGCGGATGAAGAAGAGGACGAAGGTAAATTCAACACATCCAATTGTTTCATTAACATTTTAATTCCGTATTTCGTAGATTCCCACGAGAAGCGAGAGTAAAAGTACCAAAAAAAACAAAAACAAAGAGAGCTATGATCTAGTCAATAAATGTGGTGTTTAATTAAATTCATTGTTGTGTCATTCCTTGGGTTCTGTGTGTGTGTTCGCGCAAGGATACGCTTTAACACTTGCCCTTCTTGCAGAAGTAATAATCATCAAATTTGTAATTACATTAATGAATTTATTATGAAATAAAAATAGGTGTATTGAAAGAGTATTAGATGTTATTTCTTAAACATTTAAAAATAAGCAAGCGCTTGAAAACAATTGAAATTTATAGACAATCAAAAATCGTCGTCATCTGAATCGAAGGCGGCCCTGCGTCTATCGAATTTCACCGACGTCTTGTTCTGGGGCATCTGCGAATTTACACTCTCCAATATTCCAATGAAATCTGCTTCACTGATCTTCCCTCGAATCTGACCCGACTGTGCCATCCTGATCAACATGTTCTCAACCATTCTACCCTTCTCGGGCTTTCCCAAAGATAATGTGTTCACTAAAACAAAGATTACTCTAATCAATTGAGCAACGATTATCTTTGTTTGCTACTTACATCTAGCCCTGGCTGACTGATCCAGAATCTGTGAGAGAATCGAGTGTTTTGCATCCTCCTGTGCCCTCGCGTCTTCTTGAGCTTTAGCTGCGCTTTGTTGATCTCCACCCTGAAGCAAAGATTCAACCATAAGGGGGATGTCCTGTCTTTAACCTCTAAACGAAAATACCTTAAATTGTGATTGCATCTGGGCGAGCCTCTGCTTCCTGAGTTCTTCCAATTCCGGATCAGCCATTCTTGCTGTTTACTCGCTGTTAAATGAAAATAAATGTATATAAAACAACTTTACTTCCTAACCAAAAAGGAATATCAGATTTGTCAAAACCGGGCAATGAATCACTTAATTCATATTGGTACATTTGGTTGTCTACGTTGGTAATTTAATGTAGGGTATGTAAGCGGGAGAATTTTTTAAAGTTTGAACACGAATTACACCCAAACGGCTAAAACCACAGCAATATATCGATACTTACTAGATTCCTCAAACATTCAGCTTTCATATGCATCTATTGGCTTCATTCTATCTGTT